GGGCGCAGGGATGGAAGACAGATGAGTTAACAGAGGGAACAGACGAGATCCTTTCCGACTGTGGTAAATGCTATGAAGGAAACAAACAGGACGATACGGAGAGTAACTGTTAGGACGGTTTGGGAGACTCCGAGGTGGTGACAGTTGAGCTGAAATTGCAGGATAGGAAGAAGCCGGCCATGTTAAGAGCCGGGGAGAGAGCTCTCCAGGTAGAGGGCACAGCAAATGCAAAGGTTTGCAGGTGGAAGACGGTTTTGGCACGGTCAGGGGCCAGGAAGAGGCCCACGAGGCAGACGTGTATGGAGTGAGGAGCAGCGAGGATGAGGTGAAGGTGGGAGGTGTGTAGGAGCCAGAGCCTGCAGGGCCTGCAAGGAACAAGGGCACTGGAAGGATGAAAGGTCTTAAACAGGGAAGCGAGTTTTCACGGTAGATACTGTTGTTATTTTTTACTCCTACAGCACCTTCCTAGGTGGTCTCCCATCCAAGTACTAACCAGGCCCAACCCTGCTTAGCTTCCGAGATCAGCCGAGATCGGGCACATTCAGTGGGGCATGGCCGTAGACAGATGCAGGTCGACATTGTGTATTATTGCATGTTGTCGGTTCCTGAAAGCACACCAGTCTTGAGAAAGAATTTAGCCTCTGGAGAACTCCGTGCCCCTTTTTTGCCGTGTTTCACTTAGTCTAGTTATTAGAATACGGACTACTCTTGAGAGTCAGGATGGATCAGGGCCTAGAAGTGGCTGTGAAGGGGGTTAGAGGCCAGTTCCACAGGTTTTCAGAATCGTTTTTCATTCCTTTTTCAGCTGTAGTGCTTTAAAACACTTTAATATCTGACTTTAAAAGGGCTTTTTACTTTAATATCAAATAAATTAGGGATTAAATTCTCATAATATGAAATAATTTCTTGTTTTAAGATGTGGGATTCTTTTTTTGGGTACGCGTCGGTGTTTAAGAAAAACCATTAGCCGTTACGAGGAAAGGAAGGGGAACCTGAGACAAATGCAAAGTGCTGCTGCTAGTTCTCGATAAATCTGAGATGGTAGCAGATGACGTTAAATTAAGATGCCGTTTGAAAAATAAGATTTACCCAGACCACAGGTTACATAAGAAAGGGGTGGGTACCCAAGCTTTCGTTGTTGTATTTTTGCATTAAATATTGTTTTATAAGTATTCAATTCAGCTTACAAATTTTACACTAAAAATATATTTTAAAAACGGCCCTTTCCCACTGGAGGAATTTTTCTGTGAACTATTAGTTTAAAATTATTTTTAACTAAAACGTTGTGTAATTTAACAGGCCAGGTGGTCACAGCTATTCAGTTTGGTGGAAAAACAGTGCCAAGAACAGATAGTCGCCCAGCAGGCACAGTTCCACAGCCAGATCCAAGTAAGTCCTTGACGCCGATTGCTTTTTATGTCGATTGCAAGATTTGCAGAAGAACCAATTAACACTTTGTGTCAGTTTTGTTTATAAACTGAAGATAAAGCATAGGTATTATCTTTAGAGTAATAGCTCATATTGTAAACACTATTTTCATAACATTTGTAAAAATGCTATGTTTAGTATACTTTCTTACCCCAATCTCTAACTTTTTATTTTCAGCGCATACAGGAGGAAATAAAAAATTTAGTCAAGTTACAGACCAGTAATGCTTCCTGGACTTCCTATGATAGAAGTTCTTTAATCAAACAGATATCTTCAGAAAGGCAAATGGGTTTTTTTTCTGAAAACAGTGAGAGAAATGAGTCTGTCATCAGTTACACGAAGTCTAAAGAACCTGAAATGCAGCAAGAAACATCCGCATCCCAACCAGACTGCAATGTGGACAGCAGCTCAGTGAGCAGTGGGTACGGTACCTTTTGTGTCTCAGAATTAAATACCTACAAATCGAAGGGCCCTCAGGAGTTCATGGAGCACGCAGAGGTTTCCGAAGGACAGTATGGGACCCCCGTGGTGCAGACGGAGTCACTTATAGATGGTGTAAAAAACAAGAGTTTCTATATACACACTCCCGAAGAGTTTTGTGCCTCTTTAAAGGAAGATATTTCTGTTTTTCCTGGTGAATTTGAACACAACTTCCTCGGTGAAAATAAGATTTCAGAAGTATACAGTGGAAAATCAAATAGGTAAGTAGCATTTCTTCATTATTTGAAAGGAGTTTTACTTGTTTATTACTCGTTTATTACTTGTTTATTACACTTAGACTCTAGTTAATAAAGCTCCTTTTAGTTGGCCTGTAATAGAATGAGACGTATTTGAACATTTATCATTTTTACCTGTCTTATTTATTGCCTGTGGAAATCGAAATAAACAAATCACGTTATGTACTAGTAGCATCTGATTTTCTTTCCATTTGCGATATTATAAGGTGACTAAGCTCTTAAGATGGGAGGCCTTGCCAGAAAAATACCTTCTGTGTTTTCTAGTTACTATACGCTTACTAAAATTTAGAGTATGGGATTCTATCAGTGGAATTTTGTCACACATGTCCATATAATTTGAAACCAAAAATTATGCACAGGCATACTCAACTCAAATGTTTTGGTTTTTTTTTGTGTGTAGAAGAGCTTTTGTAAGTTTAATGACCTTTTGATTAATCCACGGATTTTTTAGGGAAGGAAACAGGCTGCATGTTTGTAAAAGCAAATTATTTAAAATTATGCAGTTTACCCTAAATTTGCAGTTTTGTATCTCTGAAACGTGTCATCTAAAGTAAAGTATTTAACTGTAGCATCGCAAGTCTTATATACCCGGAAGTATAATTATTAGTTCATGTAAATATGCTTTCAACATAGAGATAAACTCAGTACTTTGAAGGAGTCACTGTGGTGGTTTTGTTCTACTCCGTGGCCACAGACTGTATGTATTGTTAATCACGCTTAGACTTTTTGTTCACTTTGCCTTTGGTAATGAGAAATCGAAGAAAGAAATTTGGGTGAATTGATAAAAATATGTCCTTTTCCTGCTATTACAAAATAACTCAAAGCACTTTCCACGGACGCAGTATTTATCAGTGTTTCATGTGTGAGGGACAGCATCTAAAGAGAGTAATATTTTTTCTCCTTAAACAGTAAAGCTGTAACATCATGGGCACAAAAGCTGAAGCAGAACCAACCAAAGAGAACACACGTAGAAGAGGGGCGCCCACAGTCTATGCAAGGAAATGAACCAACCAAGAAGGTGCCCGTGGAGAATGTAGGTGACAAGGCACTTTACTCTGGCGAGCTTCAGCTGCAGATAGTTATGCTGTGTTTACTGCTGCTCGTCAGCTTCCGTGTTTCGCCCTGTCTGTCACATTGTTAATTTGTTCCACCGACATGGCTTCCTTTCGGTGTCACAAGGATTGGAAACAATGATTTGTCCTAAGTATTGGTTCTCCTGTAGGCTGGAAATCAGAAAATACTATAAGAAACTGACTCATTTTGTAAAAGCCCTAATTCTTTCTGTACTGCTAATGTTCACATGTAACCAGAGAGTAATTCATTTAATTGTTTTTTAAAAACCTTCAAATAATTTGTATTACCATTAAGTTGTAAGAAGTAGTACCATGTGTGTGAATGCTTTAAGATGCCTTTATATGAAGGTGTTGAAGTTTGGACAGTTCTGAATTTATGATCCAAATTTTAAGAGATTAAATGTTTAAATTCTCTGTGGCCCTTTTGCTAATATAGCAGCTGCTTTCATTAAAGACTTACAGATACTGAGTGAATTTTAAACATCTTTAAAGCCCTTTTAACCTCAGTTATCGTAGAATAATATCGTTTAGTATAAATCATTGGAATTGCAAAATCAGGTTTCGTTACGAACTTGATACCTTTGGAAATTGGCCGTGGCTTGATTATCTTAAGCAGTCCTTTCGTCATCCTATGAAGATTAAAGAAGTCATAAGAAGACTCCATAAGGCACCATTTATTTCTCTTTTCTTCCAGTAAATTTTCTTTCTTCAACCTGTGACACTTAGGCTCCCTAATATCACCCTTTCTGACACCCTTGAGCTGATCCACATCCGTGTCGAGGAGGGAAGTGAAGGTGGAGGAAGCTGCGTGAGCCACCCTGGCCCTGTGTGCTTAGTTGGCCTCTTTTGAACCTGGTGCCATCAGAGATGGCGTCTTCCTGTTCGGCGTGATAGCGTAAAAGCGCGTGGAGTCGGGCGAAAGGCGCTTCCCCGTTGGAATAGGGGGCAGGGAGGGAGCGTGTTCTCACACATACTGGTTTCTTTTTCTGTTTTTACTTCATCCGTAACTCAGGGTCGTGGAGACTTTTCCACGTCTGGTAAACTTGGGATTTGCGGTAGTGACTGGGTAGAGTCACTGGTTGAACCTTGCTGTCTTTTGTGACTGTAGCTCAATATGTTTTCGATGTAGCGCAGTGGGTCCTCGACTGCAGCGCATGAGAGACACCTGAGTCCCCAGGTGGTCTGCCGTCACTGGTGCGGGGCGGTTGGGGAGGTGGAGCTCTCCATGTGATTCTTCTTGATGCAAAGCTTGGGAACCACTGGTCACTCATGATTTTCCTCCTACATTTGGTGATGGAAAATCAGACCAGCAGCCGGAGATCTGGTCCCCTGCTGAGAAGTCCCCAGGGCAGGTCTGTCCTGTCTTTCACAGTGGTGCCAGGAGGGTGGAGCATGGCCGCTGTGGCGAAGGCTGATTCCTGTTGAGTTTCCCACTTTCTTTGGTCATCTCCTGGACAGGGGTTATTTTTCCTTTTTTTTTTTTAAGGTGAGTGACTTTTTTTGGTATTCAGTCAGGGGAAGTTGAGTTGCTTTTGATATTTCCGAGTTTTAGATGATTTTCAGGTAGTGCTGGTTGGTGACGAAAGACACCACAGCTGGTTTTTGGTATTCAGTCAGGGTAAATTGAGTTGCTTTTGATATTTCCGAGTTTTAAATGATTTTCGGGTAGTGCTGGTTGGTGACGAAAGACACCACAGCTGGCGCGCGTTCTTACCTGCACAATTCCGGATCAAGTCTGGATTCACAGAGTTTGACCTTTCCTCTTCATGTCACTCTTTCTCCTCTCGCATTGTTTTTTCTGGGTTCAGTCTAACTTGAGGTCTTTATGATCAGCATTCTCTTGGGACCCAGTGTTGCTCGTCTACGGGGTCGTTTATCTAGGGTACTAGCTGTTTTGAGGCACATCTTGAAATCGGGTGTTGCTTGGCACAGGGACTGTCCGACGCTCAAGTCCGTCTTTGCCCCCTCGGTCCTCTGCCTGGGACAGACTGGACGCTCCCCTCTCGCAGGCCGCGGCGCCCGCGCTGGTTTCGCGCTGCCGAAGGCCATCTGCTGGGCTTTGCCAGCTCCCGTCGCATGGTGCTTCCCCTTCTCATTAGAGCCAGGCCCGTTTTCTTCAGCCGCGGCCTTGTTTGCCTGGAGGAGCGCAGCAGGCGGCCGTGGGGTGAGCCCCACTCCGGCCCACCGCGCTGCGTGTCGGTCGTGTGCGTCACAGTTTGCACCTCAGAACCGGAAAGAGGACAGTATTTCACTTGAGATTTCTCACTGAGTCTTCGCCAGCCACCTTCTCTTGTTGGTCTTTTAAGTACTGAGACTTGACAGAACCTTAGACAGGTAGGTGCATTAGAAGAGACAGAAGGTGACCTAGCAATTTCTCATTTGATGAAGGAGAGGCTCGGGGATGCCCTGGAAGGCTGAGGTGGTGACCCCTCCTTGCAGGCAATGTCATCGTCACAGCGGGCTTTTACTTTTGCAGGGGGTCCACGACGGCTGTTAGCAGCGACCGCAGCAGGAGTTAGAGGTTCGGTGACGGTGGGACTAAGAACAATTCCGGTTAACACAGTCTTTCCACGTATTTCCGTGTGGAGACACAGACTTCCGTGATGACGCCAGAGACACCGGAAGGAGACACTGGCTCAGAATTTTAATTTTAATTTTATTTATTCTTTAAAATCAAACCTAACAAGCTATTAATAAATTAATTTATTTATTTATTTTACGCCTGGAGCACCTGGTCTTCCTGGGTGGTCTCCCATCCACGTACTAACCAGGCCCGACCCTGCTTAGCTTCCGAGATCACACGAGATTGGGCATGTTCAGGGTGGCATGGCTGTGGACTGGTTCAGAATTTTTATTAGAATTGATGATAGCTAAGCATTTTGAGCCTTTTCTAGGTCTAATAACCAATTGTTTGCATGTAAGATGTGTAGTCTATTTAGTTAAAGTTCATATTGTGGTTTGTGGTTTTCAGAGTTGATTTGATTTGTTATAGTTTTAATAGTAAAAATGAATTGTTACGGCTCTTACATTAATTTTAAACTAATGGCTTTAATCCTAGGCACCTCAAATTTTGGAAGTAGCTGGCAAATTATACATACATTTTCATTCTCAACTCATTAAAAAAATACCTGCTCTCAGTTTTCTTCTTCCGGCTCCACAGAAACTCAAATAAACTTGTAAATTACATAGGAAAAGCAAATCCTCACTGGTAATTCCTGTCGCTTTGCATTCTCGTAACCACAGGGACGGCCAGGCTTCTTCATGACCCTTCTGCAGCCATCTCTGCTTGGGTTTGGCACCTGGCTGCCATCGCTTGGGTCAGCTGTTTGTGCCTCAGGGTTTTTAGCTGTGAACTCATAGTTCTTTTTTTTGAATTGTAGTCTGATTTCACTGCTGCTACGCATCCCCGTGCATTTTACCTCAGCAAACCAGATGAAAGTCCAAATTCTTGGATGTCTGATTCAGGAACAGGTATGATACTTATATTTTTAAAGAGTTTTTTTGTAACGACTTGTCTGCATTTCTCGTAGGCTGATAATCATGCACAGCACATTGGAGGGGTTTCTGTAAATGGACCATGTGTTATGTCCCTGGTAGCCGTAACCTCCTTACTTACCTTAATTTGTGTTCCGAATACTGTAAAGATGGAAGGAAGTATTTGTGCAGTTATTTCAGACAGCTGCAAAAGCCACCTCCGCATTTTTCAGGTGCCTCAAAACGAATTAAGAAAGGCAAACCTTCCGTGAGCCATTTTTTAACTCTCTGGCAAGCTTGTTTAAGTTTTAATGGTTTTACATACTGACTCCTTTTTTCCACGCTCCTGCATCCAATTCATCAGGATGAATTAGCTTTGCCTTACGAAAAGTATCAGGTGCCAACCATCTTCACACTGTCACCCTCATAGAGTCACCTGGGCTCCTGCATTCACCCTCCATCTGTGCTCAGCACAGCAGCTAACGTGTGCTCCTTTTGAAGATGTCAGGTCATGTGACTCGCCTGCTCAAAACTCTGGCCCCACGTTTTTTTAAGATGGCGAGTCCTCACAGAGGCCCAGCGAGATGCAGCCTGTTTTGGGCCTCGCTGACTTTTGGTCTCACTTCTCTACTTCAGCAGGGAGGCCAGGCCGTTTGCTCAGAAAGGCTGGATGGGTGCTCGTTTTAGCCCTTGTGCGCTGGCCGCTTCCTGTGCTGGGAGTGTTCTTCCGCCTGCGTGGGCGACCTCCGTCCCACGTGGTTAAAGTGGCCAACTCCTGCATCGTCACCCTCGCAGTGAGCCAGCCATGCCCACCCTGTTCGGAGGGCACCTGCCCTCCCCTCCGCACTCCACATACTCCCTTTCATCTGATCAAATTCTCCCGTCACAGTGCTTGCCGCCTCCAGCACTGTCGTGCTGTGTGATTCCCTTACCGCCCATGTCTCTCGTTCCCCAGCCTGGCGTAGGAAATGCTCAATCAATACTTGGAGTATTGAATTCTCTACTTTGTGTCCGTGTAAGCCTGGACTGTTCGTAAAGAAATTGTTGCTTTGAAAATAGTCTTTTAATTGCATGAGTTTGTCTTGACTTACACTATTACAGGTTTAAATATTTGGATCGTGAAGTTAGGACTCTTACATGGTAAGATATTTATGTGAATCTTTTCCCATTCAGATTCAACTTCCTGTAACCAGATAGCCAAAAACCAGTTACTGCCCATCTGTCATTTTCTTTAGGTGGAAATAAGATTCTAGAAGGCATTTTTGTTTTCTTTCCTCACTGTTTTCTGTGCACTTATTCTCAGGACTGACTTACTGGAAACTGGAGGAGAAGGACATGTATCACTCCTTGCCTGAGGCTTTAGAGAAGCCACTCGCACCGTCCTCCACGGACGTGTCACCAAGCCAGGTGATTTGTGTGTGTGTATTTGCATTATAAAACTGTAGTTAAGTACTCTATTTCGTTATAAGTTTTGTGTTTTTTCAGTTTCCGATGTACAGGATAAAGCATGGGTTCGCAGTCATTCTAGTTTTCAGATTCTGTCTCCGTCATTCATTGCCTATGTAACCTCAGGAAAGGTACTTAAAAATGCCCAGTTAGTGTTTTGTGAAGTTAAATGAGATGGTTTTGTGCCTATTATTTTAAATATAGTAGGTCCACAGATAAAGTTCTGCTCTCAGACTTGGTTTTGAGTTCCACCCTATCACACTCTCCCACTAATCCATTTCTGCCATAATTCTGAGCGATTTAATTTTTCCTATTAATTTTCTTTGAGCATGAAATATAAATATTTCGTTTACTTCAGAGCAAACAAATAAAACTAACCAGTATGTGTACATTGATGTGCATATCTCACTTCTGGGCTTTGATCAGGTGACGAGGGAATAGGTTGGGGAGAGATACAATTAAAGTAAGCAGGAGACTGTGACCATGAGTGACAGCCGTAGACAGATGGGGCAGTGGGACACCAGCATGCTCGTCAGCATCGGAGCCCCAGAGAGAGGCAGAAACCAGCATTTCTGTCCTTCAGGAAAGGAGCGGAAAAGAGACAGATAAACCCAAAGCGGAAGGGTGGGGGGCGTGAGATCGTGAGGAGTCTGGAAGGCTCGGCGGCCTTGTGGTCTCGGCTCCCTGCGCATGTTCCTGGATCTGCACCATCAGTAAATTAATACTACGTTTTGTTCACTCTGAGATGCCACCAATTTTAACACTTCCTGTTTCATAGTCTACCAAGAAAAAAAATTGCCAATTAGACCGATACAGTGCTTTTTTACCACTTAGAATGTATATGTTTTCTTATAATTAAACATAGATTTTTATCCTATAACTCTTTTATATACTTTAGAAGGAAAATAGAAGTGAAATAAATCGGTTAAAACTTCTTTACCTACAGAGGCTTACCGCTTCTCTTTTTTCAGTCCAGTGTTGGTTTCTGTGTTTTTCCACTGTTTTCCTCAGGCTGCCTCGAGCCTTGGTGACTTGGCATTTCTTTAAGAAAGGATGATAGGCCTCAGTGCTGGGCGTACCTGGCTTAGTAGTTATGTAGGACTGCCCTACTTTTGACTCCCAGGTGGAGAGTGTTGCTAAACATGCCCGATTCACCATCTTTTACACGCTGACTCTCTGTGGGTTCCTGCGTAGTCGCTAGGATCTTCTTCCAAGCTGCTGACACCTGCTTGGCCAGTAGAGGTGGCTTTGATATTTGCTTAAAAGCAGGCAATGATTATTAATGTCACAGCTGCTACTTGACCGAAAGTAGTTATAAGATGCCATTAATTACAAGAGGCATCATTTCAGAGGTGTTAAAACATGAAAAGAAATCATAAAAGAGGTGGAAAATGGTACCTTTTAGTAACCATGAGCTCTAAATAGAATAATTCCAACTATTCTCCCGGCCAGCAGGCAGGGACTGCTTGGGCTGGAGCTGCAGCCAGAGCTCTGCCACTGGTCTTAGGCTGTAAGGTTGTTGGTATATGAAAAGTAAAGTTTTAAAGCAGGATTATGGAAATTATGGTAAGTTTTAAGGTTTTACATTTAACGAATTAATGTCTTTAATACATACCTAAAATATAATTATCTTATTCACAAGCTAATTATAGGGTTTATTTTAAAATACTCATTCGTGGTGCTCTGCAGCCTGCTGGAGTCTGGAAGTGGGGCTGCAGTTGAGAGGAAGCTGTTCTTGGGGCGCTTTGCATGCGCCTCACCCCGCGTTTGAATGCTGCCATAGTCTAACTTCGACGGGGCTGGACGGTACCTCACGCCCCTCAGCATGTCGCCCTTGAAGTGGTTTCGGCCCAGGGTGTCAGTACGTGGAGCTTGGCCTTTCAACACTGCGCGTGGCAAAGCCTTGATTTCAGGCTGTACAAATTAGGGTCCTGTCGTCTTTTACTAGCTTGAAAAGGCGCTCGTTTTCTTTCAGTAACTTCTTTCTTAACACTTTTTCTAGATAAGGAACTGTACCTCTTGGTGGCTGTCCCCTTGAGTCCCTGGAAATCAGCCCGGCGAGGAGGGTTCTCGCCCTGCTTCCTTCGTTCATCGCGAAGTCTTGTCTTACTCAAGCTTGGTTCTCACTTGGCGGGGCTAGCAAGGACTTTATTCTTTGGCAGTATTCTTAGGCTGCTGAGTGACTTAGGGTCCAGTTGTCCCCTTGTGCGTGTTGTTAGGGGATGTGAGAACGTTTTCGTTCAGAGAGAGACTCAGAACAATCGGGTTTGACTTCCAAGCCTTTATTATCAATCTAACAGTCTAGAGCTTCACTTTATCTAAAATCTTAAAAAAAAATCTTCATGTGGTGCTGATCGTGATCTCAGCAGAGGTTTTTCATTGTTGGTAACACTGTTGAAATGACTTTGTTTCGTATCTTTAAGTCTAATACTAGTAATGAGATGAAGCTGCCGTCGCTGAAGGATATTTATCATAAAACACAAAGAGAAAGCAAGCAGCTCCCCGAGTGGACTGTCACTTCTGCTTCCAGCCCAAACCATCCACCCGAGGTAAAGTTGTGTACACTGCCGAGTGACAATGAAGGCTTCTCGTGACTCTGGCTTTAGCTTAAGCTTTGTCCTCTCGGGGGCCTGGAGCCTGCTTGCTGAGACCCAGCGCCGAGTGCCGGGGACAGACCTCACTGTCCTGTCTCCTTCCTAGGTGCTGACTCTAGACCCGACGTTGCATGCGAAGCCAGGCCAGCAGACGCCGGGGATGCAGCCACGTGGCTTTCTGAACGCCCTCGATGACAGAATATCCTTTTCACCAGACTCTGTTCTAGAACCTAGTATGTCCAGTCACTCTGACGTAGACTCGTTTTCACAAGCAAGTAATATGGCTTCTCCGTTATCTGGATTCCCAAAATGTCCTTCAAATACGAAAGCCTCGCCAGTGGACTCTTGGAAAAATCATACTTTCCAAAACGAAAGTAGGGCTAGTTCCACGTTTCCCTCAGTATATACTGTCACCAGTAATGACATCTCGGTGAACACTGTGGATGAAGAAAACGCTGTCATGGTAACTCCAGCCTCAGTCAGTCAGTCCCAGCTTCCAGGTACAGCCAACCGTGTCCCAGAATGCATTTCACTGACTTCCCTGGAAGATCCTGTGATATTATCTAAGTATGTATTTCAGGGAATGGCTTATAATGTTCATAGATTTTCTATGCTGTCTGCTTAAATGATGAAAATGATTTTTATTGAACCTCAGTTATGTATAAAATCTTAAAAAGATAGCATTTTTAAGGTAGACCATCTAAAAATTAAATAATCCACGTCTTTTCTTCACTTTATTAGTGGTCAGCTTCTGTGTTAATCTGTTTGTATCTCCCGTGAGTGTACAGAGGGAAAGGCTGCATCTTTGCTGTGAGGACGACCACGCTTTTGGTCCCTCTTACGTGCTGGGGAGCGAGGAGATACTTTCCTGACAGATGTCTGTCCTCTCACCCACAGCATCAGGCAGAACCTGAAGGAAAAGCATGCTCGGCACATAGCGGATCTTCGCGCTTATTATGAATCAGAAATAAGTAGTTTGAAACAGAGACTGGAGGCAAAAGAAATTTCTGCAGTCGAAGATTGGAAGAAAACCAATCAAATTCTCATAGACAGGTAACACTTACAATTTAACTAGAGAAAGAGAGTGTGAGTGCGTGTGTGCGTGTAATTTAACTTAGCTTTTCTCCGACTTGGATATATTATTTCCCCCAAACTGTATATTATTGTGATGATAAAACACTTTGAAAGCATGTGCTTCAGATTTGAAAATTTTAACACAGAGACATGTTTGCCTAAGTAATTTTTACAGATTGGAGCCAGCCTCTTATGCTAATAACTGACAGGAGGACAGTTGTTTCACGTGGGCAAAATGCTGAAACAGCTGAGCAGGCTTTGTACGTGTAGAGGAAAGAGGACTAGTCCCACCTGTGGATTCTCTCATCGGTCTGTGACTAACGTCCTGGGGGCGGTTCTCAACCTTTTCGTTATACCCCGACACTCATGAACCTGTGGAAGCAGTTATCCTGTTTAAAAACAACCAACCAAACGGAGAAACACGGGCGGACGGCCCTGTGTTGGGGATAGCTTTACATCTGTTTTAGAATCGTTTACGAAATCTGGTGCTTTATTGGCATTAATAACAGCGTGTTTGCAACACACTTTACAATTAAATGGGACTTAGAAACCGCTCAGGTCTAGATGACAGCAGAGAATTCTCTAGGGCAAAAAAGACAAAGCCTCTTAGAGAGGTTTAAGGGGGAACTGAAATCTGGTCCAGTTAACAGTTCGACTCGCAGAATTCTGGGCAAACTGGCCTTTGCGCTAGTTTGCGTCTGCCGTGGTGGTGAACGTGCGGTCTTACTCCCGAGCGTCTAAAGCTTCCGTTTCGCTGTCTATGGTAGGGATAGGGGTGCAGCGATAGAGCAGTAATTTTAAAAGAGCCAAAAAAAAAAGGCAAGTTTAGGTTTTCTAGGACAAAGAGAAAAGAGAAGATAGTAGGCTAGGGGAAGCTGGCTCTCGTTTTTTTTTGTTTTTTTTTTCTTTTTAAGGCAAAGAAGGCCACAGATACTTCCTGCTGGGAAACAGCAGTATGAAAGAAGCCCACCAGTAGACCTTGTTAGGTTAAAGACAGGGCGCCAGGGAAGACACCTAGCAGGTGATAGCTAATTAAGACATTTTTATGCCTGGAAGCTGCTCGAGCGCATAGGGCAGTGAGAGAATGCACATGGAGGAAAGTGGAAGTCGGGATTTTAAACAGGTGGCCGGGCGATGATAGTTACTAACAGTGGGAACATAGGGCACTGGAGTAAATGTCACGATAGCATGCAGATGAATGGCAGTACGTTATTTTTGCCTTCTGCCCCCAAAAAGAATTGATCTTGTTTATACCACGAAACCCTGTGTTACGGAGGACGGCAGAGACACAGTGAGAAGTTGCGATCATTTAGAACAGGGAAAATTATTCATCTAAGGCAGAAACCAATATTGTGTTGTCAGCATACACAGCAGTTTTTTTCAAACTTAAAAATGCAGATTGGAGAATCCCACTATTATTGCAAATAGGGCCATCAACACTTATAATTGTATGCCAGCTATGATATCAGATTGTCATGTCACACAGTTGTGATTTGGGCCAAGATCTCTGGCATAGCAGAATCGGTATGGTAATTAAAACAAAAAAATATAGTTAACACACCTGCACTTAATTAGTGGTATTTCTTTCAAGAACATTATCAGAGTTTCAGCCTCTGGCAACCATCATTATACTTTGTTTCTATGAATTTGATTCCTCTGGGTACCTCGTATAAGTGGAATCATACAGTATTTGTTTTTTTGTGACTGGCTTGTTCCAATCAGCATTAAGTCCTCAAGGTTCATACATGTTGTAGCCTGTGTCAGGATTTCCTTCCTTTTTAAGCCTGAATAGTATTCCATTTCATACATGTGCATACACACGTGCACACACACGCATTATATACCACAGTTTGTTTATTCATCCCTTGATGGACACATGGGCTGTTTCCACCTTTTGACTATTGTGAATAGCGCCGCTGTGAACATGGTGTGCAAAGATCTGTTCCTGTCTTGCTTATTAGTTCACTTAATATTTCTTAGAGATCTTTTCATATCATTATTTTCTCTGGATACAATATCAGGTTCATTGGGATGTATTTTCCTAAAATGGCATCCTGAGTCTTAGCTGACATCAGTTAGATTTATATAATACTTTAAAGGGAAAGGATTTTATCTTCTAATTGTTTCATCTCAATTTATGGTTTTTAGATGTGGCCAATTAGATAGCGCTTTGAGCGAAGCTACTAGTCGTGTGAGAACACTTGAAAATAAGAATAACTTACTAGAAATAGAAGTGGTAAGTATTCTATTTTTTGTTGTTTTTCTAGTGGTTTAATGTTAACTTCAGCCTTAAAAAAACAAAAACAAAAACAAAAAACTTAAGCCTTTTTATTAAGTGAACTTTAAAGACAGATGAATAGTTTCATAAAAACACTGATTGTGTTTTTTGTCTTTTCTTTTAGAATATTTTTTTAAGTAAATTTATATTTCGAGTGCTGCTGGCTTCATATGATACTATAAACTTCTACCCTTTAAAATTTTAATTTTTTTATTGGGATACAATTAGTATATCATAAAACTCACCCTTTTAAAGTATACAATTCAGTAGGTTTTAGTATATTCACAGACTTGTGCGTACATCACCCTGATCAATATTAGAACATGTTTCAGTCAAAAAGAAACCCCGAACTCCTCAGCCATCACCCCTGCACGCTTCCTTCTCCCCAGCAACCACTACTCCACTTTCTGTTGCTGTGGATTTGCCTGTTCTGGACATTTGATGCACACGGAATCATACAATGTGGGACTTCCTGTGTCTGTCGTCTTTCACTTGATGTTTTCAAGGTTTATTATGTGTTGTAGTGTGCGTCAGTATTTCCTTCTTTTTTATGGACGAGTAATATTCCATTAGATAGATAGACCACATGTTATTTATCCATTCATCAAGTGATGGAGGTTTGGGTAGTTTGCACTTTTTGGCTATTCTGAGCAACAGTGCTGTGAACGTTTGTACAAGATTTTATGTGGATATGTTTTCCATTTTCTTAGATACCTAACAGGAAATGCATAAACTTAAATACATAACTTTTTCTTCATGTCTTACCAAGTTTTATCCTTTTACCCGTAACCTTATAAACTGTTTTGGTGTAAGGCGTCATTTATGTTCCATGCACCATTTCTTTGTCTTTGATGTTCTTTTAGTTACCTTTGTCTCCTCTTAAACCGTAAACTCCATGAAGTCAGGGACCTGTCTTTCGTGTTAATCTTGTATTTCTGCCACCCTAGTGCCTGGCACATAGTAATTGTTGAATGAATATTAAACGCATCCCATGCATCTGGAATCTTCATAGTAAGTGAGAGAGTAGAGTAAGAAATGCTTTTTTGTTCGTAAATATTAACGAGGGGGCAACAAATTCCAGCTGTACTTTTAGAGTCATTTCTCTAATAGCTATGGTTATTGATCCTTCATTAAGGTGATCTGCAGGTGGGCCCTAGAATCGTGACTTTATGATAATCTCATGGAGCTAATTATTCTAGCAGCTTAATCATTCTTAGCCTCCACCCCAGAATATAACAAAATATTAAATTTATTGATTTCCATTTGAATGTTTCGTTTTACTGCTTTTCTGTTTTAACACCCCCAATTTATGAGCTGCTATTGAGACATCTTTTTTTTAATTAAAAACAATTTATTAGCCTTGTCTCTTTGATTTGTAGAGTGATTTCAGAGAACGCTTCAGTGCAGCCAGCAGTGCCTCCAAAATTCTGCAGGAACGAATCGAGGAAATGCGAACAAGTAATAAAGACAAAGACAATACCATCATTCGACTGAAATCTAGACTGCAGGATTTAGAGGCAGCGTTTGAGAACGCTTACAAACTCTCAGATGACAAAGACGCTAGACTAAAACAAGAAAACAAAATGTTTCAAGATGTAAGTGACAAGCAGTGGTAACCTAATGACATAGTTGGCCGAAAGTAGTTTCAGATATTGTGCTTTTATAAGCTCTTACGACTTTTTCCGCGTTTATTTTTGTTTTACATAATTTTGCTGTAGCTGCAAGTATATGGCCTCTCGCTGGTGTCAGTTAGGTCTTATCTTGCAGCAGGAAGTCAGCTTTGAGAACTATGGTGTCACTCCCACACGTTTCTGTCTCCAGCAGGTCAGCTTTTGAGCTATCTTAGATCAACATCTGTGTGTCTGGCAGGGTAAAATGAACCAGATTTAGAACAGGTTTGATTGAATTTTTTCACTTCAGTCTAATTTCACTTAAAATTTGAATTTGTATAACATTGAAATTGGAGTAGGTTTCAGATTGCATATTTTTTTCTAAGTTTTTCTTAATATCCTTTGTCATAGTACATAAAAAATCTAAAAGCGTTTTAGCCATCGAAAGTTTCTTCCTGAAAGCTTTGATTCTTGTTGCTTTGGTGTTTAAAATTTTATTTTCATGACGATACTACACAGGAACGGTTAAAATAGTGAAATCTCTAATGAAAAATAGCAGTTGTCTCTACCTCTCCTTACCTTAGATTCTCTCCCCCTTGAAGCTATTACTTCCAGCTCTTCTAGTTCTTCTAGCATTTTCCCCATGTTTCTAAATAACAAACACGTCGTTTCCTCTTTCTTTTCGTGTCAGTTCAGACATTGCATGTTGATCCTTCTGTGCAAGGTCACAGCGTAGCTTCCGCACACCATCACCCCCAGAACAAACACTTCCCCCTCCTCCCAGTGTGGTTAGTATGTTAAATTTATTTAAAGAAGCGTGTTTTACATTTTAACAACTCGGTAATTGGAATGCATCTTTACACCAGTGTCGTATTTTAATTGGCAACAGCATTTTTTTCTCTTTTAGTAGTAAGTGAAGTAATGGTCTGATTTTTAGTTAACGGTGTCTTAGATTTGAAATGCGCTATATTGTCGTTTAGGTCGGTATTCGGCGTTGCTTACGTCTGCGTAAGTATCGTTCAGAGCTGAGCCGCCGTGTACCGTGATTATATTTCCTCTCTCACAGCTTTTCTTTTTCCTAGAATAGTGATGGCCCTGCGTATCTGCCTAGCTTCCCATACGCCTAGCACTTGCGCCCCACAGGTACCCGCCCGAGGCCCGACCCAAAGACGTCCTCGGACTTGGCTTTGCTTCTTTCCGTCACCTGATCTGTCACGTGTGGATCCTGTGCCTTCTCTCTCAGTTTAACTCTGTATGTCTCCTGAGAAAACAAATGCGTGAGAGACAAATTTTGGGACCTTCTGTATCTGAAAACTTTTATAGTTTCCAGTCACACTTTCCTTTTTAACAAAATACTTTAGTTTTTAGATGGTTTTATATTTAAGAAAAAGTGAGACGATAATAGAGCGTTCCCATGTGTCTGCACTGTTTTCTGTTATTAACATTCTACGTTAGTGTGGCACATTTGCCACAATGGATGAACCAAACTGATACATCAGCATTAAGTAAACTCCACACTTTCTACTCACGTCCTTCGTCTTCACCTGATGTTCCTCCTATTCCAGGGTCCCGTCCAGGATATCATGTTACAGTTAGTCATCCTGGCTCCTTAGCTCCACTTGGCTGTTGACAGTTTCTTAGCCTTTTCTTATTTTTGATGACCCTGATGGTTCTGGGGAGCAGCGGTCAGGTCTTCTGCAGGGTGCCCCTTGGGGTTTGTCTGATGTTTTTCTCATGTTTGGATGGGGGTTACGGGTTATCAGGAAGAATCAGAGGCAAAGTGCCATTTTTGGCCCATCATTTCAATGAGCCCTATGTTTTTTATCCCTTTACAGACATTTTATTAAAGTTTCAGTATGCCATGTTTGGTTAGAACTTCACGTGGCTTCGATTATTACTGTTCTTACTCATATATTAATAGTATAATTTTAATGTGTGTGAGTACATGAGCTGGTTTTTAAAGCTGCTTGTACTTTTTATTTCAACATAGTATCTGATTTACAGAAAGTTGTAAAAATTATATAAAGAATTTCCATATACCCTTCACCTAGATTCTGAATGTGAACGTTTTACAGTATGTGCTTTATCATTGTCTACATAGAGATAAAAGATTTTTCTAAACTATTTGAGAGTAAGGAGTTTTAATGTACCTTTATCTGTAAATACTTTAAGTATTTTTCCTAAAAACAAAGATAGTCTTTTATATAACCAAAGCAAAATTTGAAATTAACATTAATAGTAGTCTTATTATTTATATACTTTATTCAGGTTTTGCAGATTATTTGTCTAGTGTTCTTTACACCAAAAGAAAAAACTGTTTCCCCCAGTTCAGGATCCAGGCCAGGATCGCAGGTTGCACTGAGTTGTCACATTTGTCTTGTCTCCTTTAATCTGGCGCAGTTCTGCAGCTTTTCCTTGTCTCTTATCACCTTAGAACTTTTCGAAGGTCATAGACTAGTTATTTTATAGAACTGTGCCTTCTGTTTTGCCACATGTGACTATTTAAGTGCACATCGGTTACAGTTAAATATAAAACTCAGTTCCTCACTTGCACGGGCACATTTCGGGTGCTCGGGGGTCATATACCGTTCGTTTTTGTCGTGGTTATTGTTTTGATGCTTGCTCTGTCATAGCTTTGGCCGGGGAAAACATGTCTGGCCGGCTCCTGTGTCCTTCGACGTGTTTCTGTCATCCTTTGAGCACGTCCGAACTTCCTGGCACAGCAAGATGTTCCGGGCTCATCTTGTATTTTCGCAGCCCCAGCCCCAAATCAGTCATTTTCCCAAGGAGTCCCGGTTCCTTTAAGTGGAACATGGTATTTAGAAATTAAGATCTGGGTATGTCCATTGCAACTGAGATGTCATTGTTTTTAATTATTCAAAAAAGAAAAAAAACCACCACAATTATTGACTTGCGTGGAGCAGCAAAGGCAAGCTAGGGTGTTGTTTTCAGTCGAAATTACGTTAGTGTTGCCAGCGGCGACACTGACTTTCTTTGCGTTTATCACTGCAGTTATTTTAAGCACGCGGGAGGGTAGAGAGAGTAACACGGACCTCGCACGTGTTAGCTATCTTAGATGCAGTTGAAACGCCATCTTCTGTCCCTCCCCTCCTGCCCTGCCGGTACCTGCGATGTCCAGTGTGCTCTTGGTTACCCCATGCCTTTCTTTTTGCTACGTGAGCATGTGTCCATAAACGGTAGAGAGTAATTTTGTAAGTTCTTAAAGCATATGTGACCTGTGTTGCGCTGCACATACCGTGTCCTTTCCACACTGTTCCTGCGATTTATCACGCTCATACACGTAGCTTTTATTCATTTTTATTTAAACGTTTATATATGAAATATTTCCAGTGTATAAGGATATGAAGAATAATATTACAAACATGTGGACCCACCATCTAGCTTAAGAATTAAAAAACTGTGGATGCAGTTGAAGTCCCCTGTGTCCCCTTTGCTGATCACCTCTGCCCTCTTAGGAGTGACCGAGGTGAATGGTGTGTGTGCCTTTCCGTGTCTGTCTTTGTATCGTGGCGTGTGTAGCTATGCGTAATTGGTGTCATTTGTTTGGCACGTCGTAAAACCCTCTATAACTGCTATGTCCTGTGTTTACTGTTCTGCAGCTTTTTCCATTGTAAGTTTTACGCCAGAGATCCAGGGGGCGCTCATTTGTTTTCACCCCTGTGGGGTATCCCATTGTGTGCCTCTCCCACAGTTCACTTGTCCATGTTCCCGTCGCTGGTTTCTTTTTACGGCCGTTCAAGCGGCACTACCGTGAGCATCCTTGTCTGTGTCTCCCTGTGTAGCCGTGTTTTGGTACCTCTAGGGTGTCGCTCCGCGTACCAGAGCTGCAAGACAAACGACTCCCAAACTGGCCATGTTACGCCCACGGACTCTGGCCCGGGAACTCGGACCGGGCACAGGAGGACAGCTTGTTTCTGCTCCGCAGTGTCCAGGGCCTCAGCTAGAAACAGCTAGAAAACCCGTTGGTGCTGTCGGCTGAGCTGTGGGCCACGGTCCTCTCCATGCACCTAGTTCGGCTTCACAGCATGATGGCTCAGTATCAAGGAGCAGCACCTTGAAGGTGTCCTTAGCCGGAGTGCCTTTATGACCTAGCCTTGGAAATCATACTGCGTCACTTCTGTTTGTTAAGCCGTCCCAAAGTCCCACCCAGGTTCAAGGTAAAAGATGCCACCTCTTGGGGCACAGCAAGGTTCTGGTGACAGCTGAGACTTACAATACTGAGTCTTCCTGTACATGACCGTGAACATGGTTTATATCTATTTAAATCTTTAAAAAAAAGCCTCTCGCCAAAGTATTATATTTTCTTTTATTGAGTCATTTTACATCCAGTGTTAAGTTTGTCCACGTAGGTACTATATTCTCGTATTTATGTATGTCTAAATAATGATTTTATATTATTTCTTGTATTTTTAACATCCATAATTATTGTGGATGAAGATTTATGTCCTTCACATGTCTTTTGGCTGAGTATAGAATTCTGGGTGTGTATTTTCTTTCCATCAGAATTTTGAAGACTTTGTCGCATTGTTTTATGTTGCTGGTGAGATACCTGAGGATGGAGTCTTTTCCTTTCTCCCCCGGTCCCATGGCTTTTGTTTCTTCTCTTTTTCCACCATCTATTTTATGTTAAAAGCCCTGTGTGCATCGATGGGGCTTATTTTCTGGTGGCTGCCGCAGCCCATCGTAAAGTGAAGCACCAGCCCTTCGGTTGGGGGACCTCTGGATGTGAATATGTAGAAGTCTTTTCCTGAGGCGGTTCAGTTTTCTCAGAGTCTCTGGTCTCCTGTCCGGGCCCTGTCAGCCAGGCCTTGGAGGCAGAGGCCGAGGGGAGCCCAGTCGGTTTCTTTGAAGACTTTTCCTTGGTCATTTTCTCTTTTTATCCCTTCGACTCCTTTTCTCTGTTACACTTGGGTTTCCAAGGTTGCATTTTTCTCCCATGAATGCGGCCCATAGCCTGTTACCTGGCTGGACAGTTTCCTGCTGTATGGGACGGGGAAGGTCCTGGGTGCTGACCACTCTCTGAAGGACTGGCCAGTACCCTGTGGTCAGCCCTGTGCTCCACCCTGTCCACTGACCCTGCGATTCAGGCCTGAGTCTCAGGGTTTGAAGAGATCAACCTGCTCGCCATTGTCACCCCTTCTTCAGGCACCAAGCTGTAGCCTCCTCTGCCTTGCTCCTTGCTCGTCTTCATTTAAATCTTTCACCCGTTGCTGTTACCTCTTTTGTTTTCTCTTTAACAGTTTCATTGTGAATTTAGTGGATCTCAGGATAAAAAGAAAATTCTGTGATGAATCTGTCTTCTTTAACTGGAAGTCTCACATACATATTTTTAAATAAGTTACCTAATTATACTTTACTCTGTGGAACTAACTTAGCAAGAAGTGTAGTATGCAACAGTTCAGAAGACAACGATGCAAGTAAATTTTAATCTTTTATAAGACTGCTTAAAGGATATTGACTACTACTTTTGTTTTTCTTTTTTTTGAAATAAATTCAAACTTACAGAAAACTTGCAAGAACTGTGACATTCCTTTTACCTGGGATCACCAGTTAACATTTTGCCATATATGCTTTATCATCCCCTCCATATGTATGTGTTCACACATGCTTATCTTTATTTCTCGAACCATTGGAGAGTCAGTTGTAGACATCATGCCCCTTTACCCCTAATTTCCGGTATGTATTTCCTAAGAACAAGGGCCTTCTCTTACGTAGCCACAGAACAGTTATCAAAATACAGAAATCTGATAGTATCGTGATCCATATCCAAATTGCTCCTTTACGGCACTGTTTTCCCCAGGCCGGGATTCAGCCCAGGATCATGCTTTTATTTCCACTTATCTCTTCAGTTGCCTTTCATCTGAAACCGCGTCTTATCCTTTCTCCGTCGTGACATTGGCATTTTAAAATAGTTTAGGCAGTTATTTTATAGAGTATCTTTCAGTCGCTATTATAATGTTTAATTTTGTGATGCAATCCTTTGTTTTTCCTTGTAGCTTTTAGGAGAGTACGAGTCCCTTGGAAAAGAACACGAGAGAGTGAAGGTAATAATGGCTCATCGTTCTCATTCTGAACGCCCCGTGGGGGCTTCGCCCCTTCCTCGTCCCCGTCCACTCACTTGTCCTCTCTGTCAATATTCTTGTCTTCAAATATCCGCCCATTTAACTCACAGGTTTGTCGGTTTCGTTAATAAATATTTATTCAGCGGCTATTGCATTTGAGGTGAGTTGAGATGAAGTTTTTGGAAGAGCGAGATACCATACCGATGTAAATGATTATTTAATACCCTTTAAGTGCAAAACTTTGTTTTTTTTAAAGCACTGGCTTTTTGTGGGCTTGAGCTTATTGATTATGTTTTTGAATTCTTAAAGCTCTGTCTGGAAGCTACATCTATTTGTGTTCAGTGAACCCACAATAATGTAAGTGGGGTCCGAGTATTTCCGTTGCATAAAACACAGGGTTGAAATTACTTGGGTTGGTGAGGCGGCCTGCACAGCCAGGCAGCCAGGAGTTCTGGGCTCCAGGAGCCAGGCGTTGACATCTGAAATCTCACCATCGCAGGGGTTTGGCCATTTACTGAGGCTTTAGTCGAGTTTGTGGTTAAAATATGTCAGTTTTAACACTGGATTATTAGCAAAGCTAATATCGTACTTGATATCGTACTTTCCGAGTTCTTTGTAGCTCTCTCGTGTAGCCTTAGATTAGTTTTCTATTATGCACTTGAATATTTGTCTTCTGTTCTCTGAATTTCCCCTTTATTTTCATAGGATACATTAAATACAACTGAGAACAAATTGCTTGATGCACAAACTGAGATTTCTGATTTGAAAAGGTAAAATGATTTGTCTTACTAATATGCAAATACCTCTAATTGTCCTTTTAGCATTTAAGTAAGTGTCTATATTGAAGGAGATGAAAAGAAAGTGGATTATTTTTTTGAGGACTTTTAAGCCCTTTGAGATTAGGTTTTATCCTAATCTTCCCTCATATAGAAATACATTTGATTTTAGCCAGGGTTTTTAAATGATTAGGATATGTCGGTGGTTGTGCCCGAGAGCTGTGCATTTCCCCACACTTGTATTTTCTCAGCCGAGGTAAGATTTAAAAGATGTTACACCATCGAAAAGAATTTTTAAGGAGCAGGTCTGGTTCACTGAGTTATTTTTATGCTCGAAAAAGAAAACTCCAAAAAGAAAACAGCGTTCACACCAGTTTTGTGGCCATTGCTTTCTGAAAGACCTGGTTTGGGGATCATATTCATGATCCGATTTGCTTCATTAGGTAAGAACAGAGTCATAAATGGTCCCGATGGCAGAATGGTCAGATGTCTCTAACTGGCTTCAGAAACGTTTTGTATTTGGGGATCTTCCTGTGCTGGTCAGGACGTCCCCTAGGGGAGAGGACGCAGCTGTGTGGCTTTGTTCAGTCTTTGCCATGACACATTCAGACCTAAGGACAGCTTCCTTACCAGCTTGGTGGAAAGACCTGTTAGAGCTGTTCTTTCTCGAATGTTCCTTGCAACAGGGTGGTAAGAATTTAAGTTAAAAAGCTGAGAGGAAGACGCATGCAAAGTTAACAAGAACAGAAGGAATGCAAGATATGCTCAGAACCATTAATTGGCCAGAGTACTTATTTTCTGTTGGTAAACTTGAAAATAGGCTTTTATTCTGAACATGGCACAAATTCGATGAGCTGCCTGTAGGTCGAGTTGTTGGGGATAATTTAGCCTTTGCATCTTTTAAAAATTAGGGCGTTCTTTTTAATAGCTCTGTTATTGGAAGTTAAGCCTACTTCCTTTTCGTGAAAGTGTTACCTCTGTATATTTGTGAAATATATATACTTGTATATATTTTGTATGCATGAATATGTACATAGTAGCATTAAACATGTCAGCATTGCAATTTATTTAAGTACTCGAATTTTTTTTTGTTTTTAGTTTATATATCGTATGTTTTGATCTGTAGTCAAATTAAATTTTTAAAGATTTTCTAGATTGAGTCCATTTGTTTCCTTTTCCTTCAGCTGTAGGGTATGAAGTGTGCCCCTCGGTAGAGTTCAGTGTCTTTGCCTTTCTCTATTCTCCCTGATTCTGTTCAGCTTTGTACAGTTAATGGTGGCATTTTACTGTGAAAAGGCTCATGGATGTGCACCTCCTTTGTCACTCCTTTTCCAGAAGGGCCTGTTCCATAATTCGTAATTGAGCAATATTTTAAGTTTGTTGACATGTGCTTGAATTTATCTTACTCTTTTGATTCAGAACAGTTTCAAAACTGGAAGCTCAGGTCAAGCAAGCAGAGCACGAAAATAGGTTCGGCCTCCGCCGTGACTCTGGAGCTGCCACGAGGGCCCCGCGTGCCACGTAAGTCGTGCCGCTTCGTCCCTGCAAGGCTGGAAATAGATGCGCCCTTCCGCCGAGCCCAGACGCTCGTGTGTCTGCCTCAGAACGTCAGGGCTGGGGTCCTCATGGCTTTAGCTGGGGGTCCTCATGGCTTTAGCACCCTACCCTCCCGGGCAGGGTGCTGCCGCCCTGGTGTCGCAGGAGCTCCTGTGCAGAGGACGAGCTGAGAGGAGGAAACGGAATCGGGTCGGTTTCTGGGTTTTTTGACTCTGCCCAGCGCTGTGACCTTAGGCAAATCACTTAATTTTTTGGACCTTGGTTTTATTTTCTGTAAGAACAAGGACACTGGGCCGGAACATCTCGAAAGGTCCTTTAGCTCTGAAATCCCAGAGATGATGTTCGCACGTTAGGTCGTACAGAGTTTTTGTTTTGTTTTTCAGAGTTAGCTTCACTATAATCTGAGACCTCTTGATGATACATTTACAAAATGAGTTTTTTCAAGTCAGAACTGGTGTTTATTATGATTTTAGTATAAAAAAGTATTAAAGAGTAGATCACAACTTCATGGCGACGTTTATTAGAAAAAGATGATTCAATTGCAAGTTTTAACCTAAGTCGTAACATGAGGAGCTTTCTCTAGATCTTTCTTAGTTAATCTTAGTAGAACATAGTGAATTATTTAAAGAAATAACGATGTAAGTAACTGAATTTGAACATTGAGAGACATCCAAAGGGAGGGCGGAGGCTGGGTCCAGGGAAGGCCTCCTGTGGAGGTGATGTGCAGGCAGAGGTGACGTGGGGGGAGTTGTTCGAGGGGGAGGTGTAGGGGGTGGGAGTGTGTCAGGCAGAGAGGCGGCCCTGCCGAGTCCTGAGGTGGGACCTGGCGTGGCATGTTTGCAGAACCTGGAGGCCGGTGTGGCCTGTACGCCCGGGCAGGGCGCAGCCGCCCCGGCACGCACTGCTTCATGAGCCATCGTCAGAGCTTCGGGTTTTACTCCCGAGCCCCCTGGGAAGCCTTGGAGGGCTTTCTGTAGTACAGCTCTGTCGTCTGCCTTCCGTTTGTTTAACGTACTACCATGAGGGGACGAAGAAAGGGAGGCACAGGGACCGGTGAGGCTACTGCAGGGCTGGGAGAGGGGGTGGTAGCTGTGGGTGGCCCTAGAAATGAGAGAGATTCTGGAGGTGGGGTCCACAGGACACGCAGGCGAGAAGAGGAGCTGTCAGGTAAGTCCTCCGTTTCTGTCTTGAATAGCTAAGGGTGCTGTGTTTCAAACTAGGGAAGAGATGAGAAGAGCAGACAATGGGGTGAATTTCAGAGTTTTCATCTTGGATATTTTAACTTGAGACCCACGTGACTTCTAAGCGGAAATCAAGCAGGCAGTTATAAATTTGCGTTTGGAGCTCAGAAATAAGGCCTTAGGCTGGAGTTACCACTTCGGAGTTGTCTTTCTAGGTAGTGCTTAAAGCTGTAGGACGGAAGGCTGTTTAGTGAGAAGGGGGTCCAGGATCAGGCGCTGGAGAACACTGGCGTTTCCATGTCGAGAAGAGGAGGAGTTCGCAGAGGACCCTGAGAACAAGCTGCCAGGAAACTCCGAGGCGCCCTGGAGCGGTCATGGGCGCGGACCGCTGCTGAGCAGGGAGGGTGGAGCCGGGGGTTCTCGAGGCCCCGAGCACAGTGCGGGTGTGGTGAGAGATGCGGACCCCAGTGGGGAGTCTGATGGAGAATGAAGGAGAACAGCCTCAGTGTGACATGTTCACGCGTGGCCCTGCGGAGTGTCTCAGTGCATACGCCACAGCGGGGTGGGGGAACCACAGCCCCCAGGCCAGGTCTAGCCTACCGCCTCTTCTCGTACGTCCCATGAGCCAAGACTGGTTTTTAAATGTCTGAAAAAATTTTAAAGTACTATTTCATGACGTGAAAATTACATGAAACTCAGATTTCGGTGTCCATAAATAAAGCCGTATTGGGACACAGCCAAGCTTATCCATTCACATAGTGTCTGTAGCCGCCTTGCACTGCAGTGGCAAAGTGGAAGAGCTGCGACAGACTGTCCGGCGCAGAAAACCTGAAATATTTACTATCTGGCTCTTTACAGGAAAAATTTGCCAACCCCTGAACTAGACTGGCAGCATGGTTTAATTTTAAAAACACGATATGGAGCAACAACAAAAAGTAATCGCAGGAGGAATAGGATACTATTTATATTGACTTCAGCATGTGAAATGGTTCTACATGTTTTATGGGTTCATACAGATGTCGTAAAAGTATAAAAAGATGCAGGGAACACAGCATAAATTGAGTATAAATGGTAGCTTTGGGGGAGAATGACATTGCAGAGGTACACAGGGGACCTCAGCTGCATTTGTAGTGTTCCACTCTTGAAAAATCCAAAGGATATATATCAAAGGATCAGGATTTTATAAAGCAGGATGGTTGGTGTGTGAGTCTTATCTGTAGTCTGTGCATGCTTGAAATATCTCCTACTTTTACAGTGAATAGGGACCAATAAAGGAATATAAAGAACAGCTACCGATCGATAAGAAAAAGGCAACTTCCTCAATAGAAAAGTGATAGAAGAATATGAACAGGCAGTTCACAGACAAAGAAACCTAAATGGCTAATAAAAATGAAAAGGTGCTCATTTCACTAGTAATCATCAACATGCAAATTAAAACAGTAGCGGGAGATCACTCATGTCATATCATCAGACATGCCAGACTTGAATCATTGTAAGTTTGGCAAAGATGTGAAGAAACAGGAACTCTCGAACTCGGTTGGACTGCAGACTGGAGAGCGATTTGGCAGCCTCAGTGACACTGCAGACCACACACCCAGAGTCCACGGTCCACTGGTAGACAGTGACCTGAGAGATTCTCCCACAGTTCATGGCAGTGCGGCTGAAGGATGGCGGGTTAGAACGAAGCGTCCCCAGCCGGAGCGTAGAGACCGTGTGCTGTCGGCATGCTGTGGGGAGATGACAGACACGCTGGCGCGCGACGTGTTCACAGGGATAAACCTCAACCGCGACGATGAGTAGGAAAAGCATTAAAAGGATGTGTACGTCGTGCCCTTTTTGTAATTAAAAAAATAACGTAATTTTATGTCTTCCGATGAGAAACAAATAGGGCAAGATGCTAGCATGTGTTAAGACAGTACGAGTGAGTGCTCAGTTAGTATTCTTTGTAATTCCTTAGGAATGTTTGAAATGTTTCTTAAAAATGGGAAATGAGTGTCGGGGTTGACACGACGATGGTTAAGAGAGGCAGCTCTTAGCGAGCTGGCTGTGGAAGGAGCGGCGGTGGGGGCGGGGCGGGCTTGGTTCCTGTCCCCTCTCTGAGGGCATCGCGAGGCTGTGTCCTGAGGTCAGGTCAGGTCTGGGCTGAGAGGTTTGAGGAGAGCGAGGAGTTGTCAGTTGCTGAGTACAGAAGGGGTGTCGCCAGCAGTGTTGGGTGTCCACCTGCTTTTGCAGTGACACCCCAATCTGCATGGCTGGGTGACTGTTTTTTTAGCAAAGCTCATTTGTAGGAGTAGAGACACTAAGAGTGAGGTCGCTGTGGTCACCAGGCTCGGGCTTCGCTGCCAGTCAGGTGTGACAGTGGGCCGGGAAGGGGGCAGGGTGGTGAGTGCCTGTCACCAGGAGAGCACACCCAGGCGGGCAGAGGAGGAACTGGTAACGCAAAGGAGGGTGATCCATGGAAAGTGGGGGGGAGGGGAGCACAGGCCTTGGGGACCACATGCTGTGGTCGTGCATGAGCGCAGTGCCCGAAGAATCTGGAGTACCAGTTTCTTGAGCGGTGCATGCCCTGCTTACGACAAAGCCCAGTGAGTGTCCTTCAAGGGGGGCGACCAAGGAGGAAGGGTCAGGTCACTGGAGAGAGGTCCAGGCCGGCTCTGATGAGTGGTTGCTGGCACTGCCCAGTGTGAGGGCGGGTGGCTGTGGAGGTGAGCCGGGGTCTTGGCTGTAGTTGCTAGCCGCCTGGGGCATGGTGCTGTGAGCCCCCGCCGAGCAGGGTGTGCCTAAGGACGAGGCGAGGGACAGAGTCTGGGACAGGCCGTTCAGTACCGTAGTGCCTGTTGCCCCGTGTGCTTGTTTAAATGAACTCATATTTGAAAATTGGTTCTTCAGTCTCAGCAGGCATATTTCTGGGGTTCAGTGGCAGTGTGGGACATGTGGCTGCTGTATTGGGCTGTCCAGATAGCTTCTGTTTGGGCAGAAAGTTCTGTCAACAGTGCGGGTCTGGGGGGCCAGAAGGTGCTCTTTTGCTCCTGCCCTGAGCCGTGGCGGGGGGGCAGGTGTGAGGTGCCCCAGCAGGGCGTTGGGGTGTTCAGGGCTGTGGCTGTGTGAGTACCTGAATCTTGACTGAGATTCAGGAGCATCAGAAGTAAAAACAGAAACGTAAAACAACAATTCAGTTTAATCTTAAGACCATACTATAGCATTCATATATCTAACGTAAGATTGCGAGATGCAGCGTTCATTTACTGTGCGTATGTACAAGCGTTTCAGAGCAGGCCGTTTTCAGCGCGTGCTCAGTTAAGTTGAAGCCCAAACCTCGTAACGCCTCCGAACTGTCCCCGCTCGCACAGCACGCTGGCATCCTCGGACGTCAGCAGGAGGAAGTGGCTGATACCAGGAGCGGAGTACTCCATCTTCACTGGCCAGCCTTTGGACATCCAGGACAGGAGAGCGGGTCACCAGCTGGAGGAAACCTGTGTTTCTGGGTGAGATAACTGTCACAGAAATTTTATTTTGAAGTGTTATGTTTTTTTAGAGATCGCAATTGCCATTAAATGGTCAGAAAGGTATAAGGAACCAGCTCCTTGTTTCTGCAGTATCCTAATTTTAAAGACCTGAGTTTAGGGTACTTCACTTTCGTAGGCCTTGTAGAGCTTCCTGGCTCGTGTTCCTGGCCCAGTGGTGTGCCACACACGGGCTTCGAGAAGCCGACCTTCTCCCCCTCCAGATGGCCCAAGTCCCCACGAGTGACCACATCCGTTTACACCAGGGCGCTGTGTGTAAAGATGACATTTCTGTATGTGTGTGAAAAGGCTGGGAAACGCTGGCTATCACGTGCAGGTTCACTTTTAATTTATTTCCATTGTGAAGCATACGTGTTCACTGCGGAGTGTAATAGTCAACTCACGTTAATCTCCGGCAGTCCCCGAGAACTGCGTGGCTTCGTTCAAGCTGCTGTGACACGTGCTAGTAGACTGGGCGACTTAAACAGTTCATTTCCCGCAGTTGTAGAGGCTGAGTCGAGGTCAGGGAGCCGGCACGGTCGGGTGTTGGCCAAGGCCCTCTCCTGGCCACGCCCTCACGTGGCCTTTTCTCGGGCCTGCTGCGGAGAGATCCCGGGTCTCTTCCTCTTTTCAGCAGGGCACTAATCCCACCGTGGGGGCTCCACCCTCTTGGTCTCGTCTGAACTCAGTCACCCCGCAAAGGCCCCACCTCCGAACACCATCACATCAAGGACTGGGGCTTCGATGTCTGAGTTTGCAGGCGGGACGCAGATGTTCAGCCCACAGCACCGTGTGTCTTACAATTATTCTTCAAGGTACCGCTCTCCCCCGGAGAAGGATCCCACACCTGGAAGTTCACCGACAAACGCACTGGTAAAGAAACAGAGAGAGACTTCAGAAACACCCATCATGAGGGCTTTAAAAGAACTCGACGGAGAAAAAATGTTTAAAAGTTGGGGCACACAGACAGAGAAAGAGGACACTTCAAACAGTAAGTACTTTATCCCTTATTTGATATATAGATATGGATTGCAGAGATACCTTCCCCTTTCCCACTGCTTATATTACCTTCTTTAAAATGACATTCCTCAGGTAATGAAATAAGTTTGTTCCTGCTGCTTCAGCCCCATTTCATAGGTAATCATCCCCTAGTTAATAATTGATCACCATCATAGCAGAACATATACCTTTTATATAAAGCAAATTACACGTTATATTGTGGTTATTACAGATTTATGTGACATTCTTAAGGATATTTACAAACTTTTTATTTCAGTTTGTCACCTCAAAAAGTTATGACAGACATTTGGTGTTCGTGAACTAAGGCGTAGCATTTCCCCTCTCCCCTGCTTGGGCACTGAGCATCCATCCCTAGGGCGAGAAGTATCCTTGGTACGTTTTTTCACAGGTCCGGGTGCTCGCATCTCCTCCTCGTGCCCTCCCAGCTCACTGGGGCGGGCTGCTAGTGACACCGTTAACATCTCTGGTGCGGCATCTCCAAAGCAGTCTCCATCTCCTAGGAAATAAATTAGTGACCTTCTTTCTCAAAATAAACTCTCTTGAAAAATCGCCTTGAATGCCAGTTGTAAACAGGGAACCAAAATGAATGCATTAGAAACTCCCGCATTTTTCTTCATCAAGCATTTTTTATCGTTATAATATGGCGCATTTGCAAATAGTCATTATAACGTAAACGGTGAGGAGAATTGCTTCCTTGTAACCATCTGTTAATAAAGGTGTGTAATTGAAGCTAGGTTTATCTCGTTTGATTTTTTTTTTTTTATGTTTGCCTCATAGAATTAGTGAATCCTCGACAAACTGAGACATCTGTCAATGCAAGTCGGTCCCCAGAGAAATGTGCCCAACAAAGACAAAAGAGATTTAATTCGGCTTCACAGAGATCATCATCTCTACCTCCTTCAAATCGTAAAGCAAGCACTCCAAGTAAGAGTTAGATGTCTTATCTCTTGGCTCAAGGAGTGACATTCATGCCTCACACAGACATTTTCCGTCTCCCTCACAGCCCACTAGCACCTAGTATGGGGTCCCCAAATACGATCTTTTTAAATAATAGCACCATCTGATTGCACAGATATTAGAACTGAAGAAATGATCAGTTTATTGAGTTTGCGTGTCCAGCAGTTTTCTGCAACTAGTATTGCTTCAGCTTCTGAGACAGTGGACAACTGTGTAATTAAACGTTAGTTCAAACATTAAGCTAGCCTGCTAGAAGATGCTTCTTTTCGTGTGTTTGCCTTGGGTTTCTCAGCAGTAGTCACTTTTTCCTTAAGCAGTTATGGTTTTTATCATAACTTAAAATCCAAAGTTCGAACATCGGGTTTCTGTATCCTCAGTTTTTGTGTTCCTGACAGCTGGGAGGGTCCTGTATGACTGTGCTGTGGGCATGTTCGCCAGTTTCCAGCCGACTTCTCAAATCCTGAAAAACCAGTTTTGAGTCAGAGTGCTGAAATTAGTCTGATATACTAAAATGTTGACAGTGGGTCCCTCTAGATGTTAGGATTAGGAATTATTTTATATTTTATACTCTTATTTATTTTTCAAAAAGTTTAAATGAAATTGTATTTATTATAAAGTTAGGAAAAAATACCAGAAAAGAAACTATATGTTCTGCTAATGGAATACGTATATTATGTAGAAGGAAAAGAATATTTCCTCTTTGTTTTCTTCTGTAGCAAAAAGAGAGATTATGTTAACACCGGTGACTGTGGCTTATAGTCCAAAGCGGTCCCCTAAAGAAAATTTGTCTCCAGGATTCAGTCATCTACTTAGCAAAAATGAAAATCCGAGTCGGTAAGTTCTCCAAAACTGTAGAATAAAATATACATATTATTGGTTTTTAAAAAAATGTCACCTATGCCTCTAGCCATCACTAATTTTTTAGTTGTCAGGAACTCTGGATATAAATTACTTAAATAGAGGCCATACTAAAAACTAAAAAATACTGTAATACATGAAAATAGTTTTTAAGTATGTAAACTGGCTACTACTAAATTTAAATGCCATCTCAGAACCCCTCCAGTTTTCGGATGTAGAACGGTAATTTTTTGTTTTCCTGGAAAGGTTTATGATACAGGGAAAGTTTTGAGCCATTTGTACAAGAAGGTGGGCCGTCCCGGGACGGCCCCGGCACGAAGCGTAAGTCTAGCCGTGCTGCCGAGACAGTGGTCCTGCCACGCGGCCACCGCCTGCTGTCGTGGGGAGACTCCCGACTCCGGTCACCCAGCCCCTTCGGGCTCTGGGAGACACTGAGCACGTCGAACCTCAGTTTCCTCTTGCGAAATGGGGATGATAACGCCCCACATACTCCCTGAGGTGGTCTTGAAGAGATTCTGCACGGTGGACGCTTTAAGTCCCTCGTATGAAGCTCTAATTTTACATGAGAAAATATAAATTTCAGTTTTAGAAAATTATATGACCAGCTTTCTTTCTTAAAAAAAAAAATAGGTGAGTGTGTGAGTTCACTGGGCGCCAGCTCGTCTTTCTAGTGGCGATAGGGAAAATCAGTTAACATTTTTTTTCTCACAAGTGACTTGCTTCATTCAATAGATTTGATATACTTTTGGATGATTTAGATACTGTTCCTGTGTCTACGCTACAACGCGCCAACCCAAGGAAACAACTCCAGTTCCTCCCTCTAGATGACGCGGAAGGTATCTTTTCCTAAAAAATTGTTAGTTACGGTTTTTAGTTATTCATTTTGCGAGTCTTGTGTATTTTCGTGGTCCTAAGTTTAGAATATCCCGTACTTTAGTATTTTTTCTACCCAAAGGCTTCTAAAAATACGCGTTCGCGACGCTCACGTTGTGGTCGGTGTTGATACCCTCACTGAACAGCTAGGAAATGGAGGTCCCGGAATAGTGACCTTGGCTACCAGGGCCACGCTGCTGTTTTTCTCTGCATTGTTCTATAAATTTTATGCAACTTAGGTTTTGGGTAATATTGTTCTTTTTTCTCACTTATACTTTCAGTTTGGAATAAGGTTATAATGCATATGAAATCACTTGGGTAGGCCCTAAAATGTTAACTCTTTAGTGTTGGTATAAATATGTTTCATTTTTAAACTTTTTTTTTTTTTTGCTTTAAGTTTACTTAAAATTCGTTTAAGTTTGTAGAAAGTTTGATATGCTCATTTAAGGAAGTCGTGAAGGTTGTTGAACTGAGGGCAGAGCTTTTAGAAATTCTGCGGAGAAGTCACTGCGTAAATATGATCGATTATTGTATCTGTTTTCATTGCATGTTTTGCCCATGTCACAGCTATTTCCAGAAAGTGAAGTTGGGTACTGTGTTTAGTATATATACACTCTATTAGAGAAATTGGTAAGAAATAAATTTCTTTTCTCTCCAGCAGAAAAAAAATATTCAGAGAAAGCCACCGACGTCCATGCTGATCATAACTCCTCCCCCGAACCGTTGCCAAACAGGGCGAAGACCTTCTCTGTGAGACCCGCCAGCCATGAGCCGTGGAAGCCTGCCCCGGGCGCACAGCACGGCCACGACTTTGAATATACCGCCAAAATCAGGACCCTAGCCGAAACGGAACGGTTTTTTGATGAACTTACAAAAGAAAAAGACCAGGTAAAAACAACAAAACAGTTTGTAGATCTTTTTCCAAACTTGACACTTATGTCTAAGGAGCAGTCAGAAAGGAGTTACTGCAAATTTCACACCGAAGCTGCGCTAGCAGCGTGCATGAGCCGAGCTGTCGTTACTAATTCTGACAGAGGGAACTTATGGGAAGACGGGATGGACAAGAAAATACTAGGCTGAAGTCTTTTCTTTCCATTCTGTATTATAAACCTCGCTGCCAGTAATTAGAGTTCTTCTATTTTTATTTAAACTGTTTTTGTGTTAACAGATTGAGGCAGCGCTAAGTCGAATGCCTTCTACTGGAGGACGAATCACTTTGCAGACAAGATTAAATCAGGTGAAATGTCTTAGCTCGAATCTATTTTAGAGGCTTGATGCTAGGCAGTGCCCCATTTATCCAAGATGACTTTTCAAAATCACAGTTTTTAGGCACACCGAAGCAATCAGTCAAAACTTAGCTTTTACAAGAAGTATTTGGTGCTTATACCATATTTTGTCACTGCATGCTAGCTTTCAGGAATAAAAACTGATTTCGCCTTTATACTTCAAGAAAATGGTGTTCGTGCCATGATTTTCAAGAAACTAACTTGGGAGCAAATGGCAATATGCCTTTTAACAGATTTTATGTTGTTAAGCCAGTGCTCTCACATTAAATCTCCCATTTTGTGTTTTTCCCCCTCCAGTCTGTAATTTGTTTCTGAATCCCTTTGTAGTTAGTAAATGTAGAACAGTTGCATTTTGCATCTGGAATAGCGGTAGACGTTAAAGAAAGGGAAAGATACGGCTCCGGCTCCGGCGTCGGGCAGGAGATGGTGCAGGCGACATGGCCCCTGTGCGTCTCTTTTAGTTGCTTTTCAAAGAGAATTAAAATGCATGAAGCCACGGGACAGCTTAGCTCTGTTCTTTCTGTCACATTTTAAACATAACAGCGAGTATATCTCTCATGTAACGGCATGTTTTGGCTTCTCCAGTGCCTTAACTTTAGGAAAAGTTCATTTTCAGATTGATCTGTGATGCCAGAAGGAAAGAAAGACACAAAACGGGAGAGGTCTTCTTCTAGGGCTGGTGTCCGAGGGCCTGTAATTTCTCTTTTCTCCCGACTTTAAGTTTTCTTGTTGTTTTTGTTATTCTGAAAATGTTTATTCAATAATTTATAAGACTCAACACATGAAGCTCTTCTTAAAATAGTTTACTTGGAAGGCAGAAGGAAACACTATTGATACTCTGCTTCTAAATCTATCTGAGTCTACAGCCACGCCACCCTGAACAAGCCCGATCCCGTCTGATCTCGGAAGCTAAGCAGGGTCGGGCCTGGTTAGTACTTGGATGAGAGACCACCTAGGAAGACCAGGTGCTGTAGGCGTTAAAAAAAAAAAAAAGTAAAAAGTAAAAATAAATCTATCTCTGAGACATTTGTATATTTTTATATAATCATAAGCTCTTAGAACAAGACTTCAAGGGTACTGGTTTCTGTGCATCTGTGTTAAAGCTCTTTCAGTCCAGTAAGAAGACGGAATGGCAGCAAAAGGGCTGAGCATGCTTTCGTATGCTTCAGATGTGAAAAAGCTAAATCAGGCAAAGAAGATGAAAATGTTCAGTCTCATCAGTGAATAAAAAACAATATACCTTTAAACAAAAGCATTTTTAAAAACTATGATATTGGAAGGTATTTAAAAAAAAAAATACTTTCCAGTACCTAAAATGGGAAGATGCTTATTCTCACGCCCTGCAGGTGGAAGGAGGAATCGTCACGCACTTTCCAGCTTGACGTGTAGCCAAAGCTCTCACAGTTTGCGTTCCTTCGGACCTAGCGTTTGTCCTTCTGGGAATGATTCCTAAGGCATTACGCACAGATATGTGCAAGGAGATGTGTTTAGGAATATTTACTGCAGCATTGTTTATGATATCTAAAATTAGTAGCAACCTGAATTTCTACTAAAAGATTCTTGGTTAAGTGTACGTCCGATGAATATTGCACATTAAATGATGTAGAAAGATAATCTATAAACAAGATGGGTTCAGTTAAAAAACACTTTGAATTGGATGTTCGATTCTGTTTTTTTTTTCTTAAAAATGATGAGCATATCTACACACAAAAAAACCAGGAAAGAGGAACAGGGCTTGTGACTTTCTGCTCATGTCTCCTAGATATTCTATAATGAAGGCGTCAGCCTTTTATAATTAAAGTTATTAAAGAGAAAAATTTAATGTTTTATTTCAGGATACCATTGGAGTTAATACTGAATAAAGTATCTAAAATAACAAATACATATTCCAGGAACCAGTTATTTCACAGGAGTGCTGTTGATTTAAAAATAGCAGTTGTTGCATTGATTCACTGTGAAATCCCTTGTTCCTTAGAAGACTCTTCTCCAAATGGTGTTCTTTTTAACTTAGACGTTTTCGTCAGAAGAAAGTTGCTTGGTATACGTGGAGGCGGGGTGGGCTCCGGTCAGGTTTGTCTGTCAGTTCTGGTGAGATGCGTGCGGCACGGCCTCGTTCCTCTCGGACTGTCTTCAGTTCAGAGCAGTTAAAGGGTCATCTCCTCCCGGCCAGTTGTGTCGCTATCGCTGGAATTTCCATTCTCAACGCACCAAAGACGTCGAGGATATTTTAAAGTACAGCAAGTATTCGGACTGGTTGAAAAGTTGATTTACACTGTTCAGTTTAAAAGAAATAATATAAAGATGGTTTCTGTAAAAAGCAAAACATCTGATTTTAATGTTTATTCTTGTTCTTTTGCTAAAAGAAAGGTCAGTTGGTGGTAATGATAGAACAGTGAACTTGATGTAGACTCGAACTCTAATTAAGCTTTTCCCGTTATTTTCACCTAGGAGGCCTTGGAGGACCGTCTGGAAAGGGTTAACCGAGAACTGGGCTCAGTCCGCATGACGTTAAAGAAATTCCATGTCTTGCGCACCTCTGCAAATCTTTGAGATTTGTAGCTATTAAATTTTGAGACGTTTTTGTTTGCACTACTGTATAATTATGCACTCAGAAAAGGCAAACTATTTTGTACTGTTTATAAGCCTTCAAACTGTAGTTTTACAATCATGCAATTCTTTAACTTGCTATTTTATACTTCAGATGGCCACATATTTTCAAGATATTTTTGTTATGCTCAGGAATCTCTTGTATATTTTACTATTTAAAAAGTATTATTTTTAAATAGTATATGTCTCCAATTTATATCACGAATAAGGAAATGTAATTGGGGAGGCAGCTTGTTTCTAAACAAATAGTGTTATCCTTTTACAATTTGCACACCAGTTTTGTAAACTTATTAGACGTTGTGAATATGTTTTTTTCTTTTTAAATAAATGCTTAAGAATAGCATTCCTAATGATAGACTAATACATGCTGAATGCAAAAAACAATTATAGGATACCCTGGGCTTTAGTTGTTTTGAGGTTTTTTGAAAGAGATAATGCAATTCCTGTTTGAAACATTTGTCTTAGAGTGAATATTAGATTAATAATAATGGAAGTATTGGAAATAATGGAATACTGGAAAGCTTTGAAAACTACATGAATAACTCATTTTATTTCCCTTAATCTCTACTATTTGTGAGGAAAGAAAAATGAGAGAGATGTAATTTTCTAATTCGGTTATATATAGTACTTTTCAGGAAAACGTTAAACAGTTGGAGAGCCGCAGCTTTCTGCTCCTCATTCGGAATATAACTCGTGTCCCACCCTCGACCATAAATCGATAGAGAGAGCTGAGGACGTGCAGCTCACCGCCCAGTGAGGTTGTAGGAGCAGCTCTGCCCTCCTCAGTGCTGGTGGCTTCGGCTCTCAGAGTTACCGTGCAGACACTTAACCCCTCCACCGCTGCCAAAAAAGAAAGACAAGTGCTCCCGCAGTAGGGGCTGTAAGAACAGGTTAAGGCCAGAGCTCCCTCCTCTGCTTGTTAATGGAAGGGACTGTGTCTAGGTCTCGCGGCCTTGAGCTTGGTCTTGCCGGGGGCTCTAGCTCCCTGCCTGGGCAGTAAGCGCCTCCTGGCCCTCGGAGTGGCACTTGGGTGGGGGCCGTGCTCTGACCAGGAGCTCCAGCGGGTGTGTTACTCCGTGCGGGGACTTGGGTGCCTTCGAGCACCCTTCACCAAGGCTTCCCCTGGCCAGCTGCAGGCCTGGCACCCGCAGCCACGCTCCCTCTCAGCCGGGGTCACAGCAAGGAGGGGCTTCTGGCAGCTGCCTCTCGCTGCCAGCACAGAACCGCACTCACCAGAATCAAGTGCCTTTACTCTATTTTTTTTTTTTTTTTTTAAATCTCCTAGTTATGCTAAAGAAAAGGTTTGTTTTAACCAAGCTCCACTACAGGCCTAATCAAGGGATTGACTTTACGGTGATATGCCCTTTAATGGGTTCCAGTGCATTAAAAACTAACCTGAACATTATCAGGCTATTTCATTGTTCCTTACTTTTATTGTAAAGTCTGCAACATTCTTAAGAATAAAGAAACTGTCATTTCAGAAAAGATTACAGTTTTGTCAAGGAGTTATCTGCCCGGTAGTCTCTATTGGCTTATTCCAAGAAAGGCATTTAGCGCATCAAAACATCTGTGTCCGTGCTTTCTCAGAAAACCTGCGCTTTGATTTTTGAAGTATGCAACAGGTTGGAAGTATCAGTCACTTATTTTTTTTAAAAAAGAAATTTTATTTTTTGCTTTGTAGCTGTGAAGAGAGAAACCAAGGAGAACCCTTTCAGCCATCATTCTCTTTGGTGGTGGTTAACTTAGGGGACACTCCGCTGAAACGCCACTCGCCCTGAAGGCAGGAAAGGCGGCAATCTTGGGAAGCAGCTACTGACCCTGGGAAGTGAACTATGTTCGCAGCCTGCTGGAGCCGAGAGCTGCAGCCAAGTAAAAAGAAACAAAAGCCTAAGTGAATCTTCCACTTCGGGGAAGTGCCTTTTTAAATGCAAATATTAACTCTCTGCACCCCATTCTGCCCCCTTCTCTCCCTTACTGAGCTGCCTGAAGTGGGGACAAGTCCTTCAGGAGCCAGGATTTACAGCCTAAGATAAACGTTCCAAATGAAACAACAGGCAGACCTGGGACTGTGTGGCTGGGGATGGGAGCCTGGGGACCTGGGTCACGTCCTGGCCACCGCCTGCCTTCCTCAGCCTGAGTGGTGGAATGAACCCATAAGAAACTTCTATTCAGGGAGATCATGTAAAGTGCCTGGTGCTTCGTAAATTTTCAATAAATAGGACATTTCAGTTTCATCCCAAGTTAAATAGGCTTCTGGAATAGCGATTTTGCATTTTTTTTTTTTTTAATAGAAAAGTAGATTATGTCCCAAGCAATTGACTTAAAAAGTACCTTGGGTTGGTTGACATTTCTGTCAGGTGGCCAAAGATAGTCTCCACCCCTTTGCCAAAAATGAGCTTTCTTGGAGTTTAAATGAGCTTTCCTGTGGTGTGAATTTTTTAATGATTAAAAAGAAAAAAAATTTGATAACCTGTTTAGTATAAGTTCTGGCACTTTGATCTTAAGCAGGTGATTTTGGGGTTATTTGATATTGATGGAAGCTACTGCAAGAACAAACTATTGCCGGTGTAATCACCATGATTGCTCCTTCAGGAGTTTCATCCAGCTAGAGGCGGCGGTGGGCCGTGAAGTGGGACCGGACGTGCAGCCTGCCGCTGGGTGTTGGGTCCGTACTGAGGATTATGACTCGTTTTTAGAGTTTGGTAACCACCAAGATGTGTACCTCCTTTTAACTTAGAAAAGCCAGGTGCTTTGCTGAATACTGTTTGAATTCTGCTCTGCGCTAATATATGTAGTAAAATTATGACATCTTCGTTGCTTTAAGTTTTAGATATCGCAGAAGCAGTTTTCACTAAATTTTAATGTGCAGCTTGTGCCGTGAGTCTCTAAGAAGCTTTAAAAAAAATAAACGCATACCCACAGCTCTAGGAATCATAGAGGTAAATCACATTTACCCATCATGAGTGACTGTATGGTTATGAGATTTGTAGGATCTGATTGAACCAATTACATTGCACACATTTTGCAGGACATAATTTCCTGCCCTGCCTGGGGTTCTGTGGCAGTTCGATAACGTATTAAGCTGCACCAGTATTCTTAGGACCTGTGTTAAGCTTTTTCCTCCAGATTTGTGTTGTATTTCAACAGACCCCTCTCAAATACGAGGAATTGAGCCATACATTTGCGTTTGCTGAACCTTATGTACCTCTCGCTGACTACAGACTTCAAAGATAACTTATTCACAGTGTGTAGCGGCGACGTGTAACGTGAGAGACTGGCTTCGTGCCGTGCTGTCGATGGTCAGACGAAGCCACGTGCTTGTCGCGGTCATTAAATCTCGTCCAGTGTTGGAGCAATGGCACTGTAAGCTCCGTGAGAGCAGGGACCCTCTTCATTCCTGCAAACAGGCAGTCAATAAACGTCTGGAGATGAGCAGTGTTCGTGTATTTATTCGCACCGGCTGACTGGGGCATCTGGTTTTCAGCGGTGTTGAGTCTTTGAGTTACTGATGGTTCGGTTGCAGCCATCACGGGCTTGCAGTGGTGTCGTCCAGGGGCCCAGTTCCAGCGGGCCGATGGGCAAGGGGCCTCGCTCGAGATGTGTTTGTTGTGCAAATCTTTCTTCAGTGGGTCTTAGGGCCCCTCTTGGTGGCGGGAAGGGGCTGAGGGTTTACTCTTTGAGGGGACAGCTCCACTTGTCTCTGTGATCGGACCGGTGTTTTGAGGCCACTGTCTCCAGGTCTGACAGGAACCCAAGCAGATCCCAATTTCCATGGTGGCTTTGCCCTCCTGGCTTCAGCTGAGCTCACCTGGGGCTGCTTTTGTTTTAGCCTGCATGGCCCTTCCCGGAGAAGGCACGCCCGTGTCCTCAACCACGTAGGGTGACACTCCGGCGCGGTCAGCTACTGGGTGCCCTGTTTCATTCCATCACTTCAGCTCTGGGCAAGCGAGTCCAGCCTCGCTCAACCTCAGTACACACCCCGTTTTCTTTTGAATGTCACCCAGGACCCCCTTGGTCCTTTCGTTTTCCACCTGGCGGGTCCCATCGGGAAGGGACACGAAGGTGTTCTGATCCACTTCCAGTTCCTCCCGAGGGCCGAGCGTGTCTGACGCCGGCTCCTACGAACCTGGAGTCTGGCCCCGCGTCGGGGTTCGGGCCCCGGTCTGGCTAGCCGGCGACATTCAGAGGCCTCACGACGTCTGCCCCTAGATTCGTCCTCTGACTCCCCAAGAACCCCGCTTTTTAGTCGGGAGCTCGGCGGGCCTGGCAGCGCCGGCGGGGATGCTCGCCCCCTCCCCCGCGCCCCGCG